TATAAAAAAGAACATTTAAAAAAACTGATTTCTATAGCCCCTTCCGAAATATTTTTCTCACTACGCCACTGCATGTAGGTATATATGACACGATATAACTTTATTCGACAATTTCAATAGTCGCGCGGAGTTCACTTGACGAATCTGTCCCGCTAAATGTAGCAAACTGCAGTATTCAACAGTGTATTTTTCATTAAACGGAATAGATCTCGCCTCCAATTAGATACTCACTACTACAAGACTCTCGTAAATCAACTTATGTATATACATTTGTGAGTCCAAAGTACATCACTGCCAACGAAAAATTCAAACGTCAAGAAAATATCAACGGGCACGCTATTCGCCGACCATTATTCTATCGGAATTACCTCTGTCGGTCGATTTTGCTTTTCTTCTTCATATTTCCTTTTCCTCAAGGCTTTAGATACACTTACAAATTCGAACAGATTGAAAACGGACGGATAGATGGACGACCGGCATCAGACACGATCGTGTACGTTCAACATCACGCACAACTCACAGTTCGAAATCATCATCCGTCACTCAATCCGACAAGGCCGACACTCGCAAGACCTGTTCTCGTGCAAATAAATTGCAAGAAAACGTGAAGAAACGCTGATTGAATCCGGAGTATCTGGACGATTGACAGCGGGCAACGTAACTCCATACTGTCAATGGGCGAGTTCAAGACGGCAAAGCGGCTAAGCATGCTTACTGAGCGATTGAATAGTTGGAATTGATTGGTTGGATCTATAAGTAACAACCAATTATGTTCATTTGCTCGGCGAGCAGGCTAGCCGCTTTGTCAACTTGAACGCGCCCAATGAATGCATCTACGCTTCGTGAGCTCTTGCATCTGATTGGCATATCCCATTAGATTAAAAATATATTAAATCAAACAGGTGCAATAGATCACTAAGCGCTCAGTGAGCGATCGTGCTTCTGGATGCGCCTATTGGGTATTTTATTAACTGAGATATCTCACTTTTACATTCAGATTAGGTTAGTGTACAATAGCTTTAGGCCGATATTTCATTTGTGCGTTTTTGTCGTACGACAAGCTTTTCCTGCGTGTTGATTGGCTATAAGATAGAGAGATCCGAGGACCTCTCTGTCTTGCACACATTTGTCATACGACAAAAATGCACAAATGAAATATCGGCCTTAATGTGCACTGAGTGAGCACCCGTTCTCCCCCGCCGGCCCCGAGTTGGCAAACAGAACGACGCGCGGGCCAGTGAATTACTACGTTTACACGGCACGCTTTACGCCGAAGTTATAACATCGATGTTATGAAACTGGCCAATCACAGTCATTCCATTCTTCAAAGGATAGCTATGATTGGCAAGTTTCATAACATCGATGTTACAACTTCGGCGTAAAGCGTGTAAACGTAGTAAATAAGCACATTCAAGTCGACAAGCGGCTAGCCTACTCGCCAAACAAATAAACATGATTGGTTGTTACTTATATAGATCCAACCAATCACATTCAATTGGCGAGTAGGCTAGCTGCTTTGTCCGACTTGAACGCACCCAATATTTCTCAAGATTTTTCAGGAAAGCGATATTTTCACCGGTAACAACGATAACGGTACAGCGATTGTTTACATTTTGCGGTTTCCGTAATGAAGCAGTTGTGTTTCAATTGTCCCGAATATTATACACGCGCTGGTGCGAAGCGAGTCAGCTTGAAATAGGAAACGTGACTTGCATACATAGCTAACTTCATTATAGCGACGCTATCTTCCCGCGCAGTTTGGGGCGCGAAGTTTCAATTTTGTATTTGTGCAATAGCAACTGAACTAAGTGGCAAGGAATAATAATATCGACGTCATAATAACATTAAATAAAATCGAGTATGTAATTACTTTTATTTATATAAACGGCTCGTCACATAATCTCGCATATTAAATGGGTTAACGTAGGCGACTCATTGATATTGGCTTGGTTTACATCGTGCACTTGATACGGGTACTATTAGCAACTTTCTATTGAATGATCTTAATTTCGGCGATACGTGTAAACATACATACGATATGTGTATTTAATTAATTATTTTGATGCATATTGTACTAATTTAGTATATCATTCTTTGAATACATCGCTGAAATTACAATAATTTAATAGAAAGTTACTAGTTAGTACGTGTATCAAGTGCACGATGTAAACTAGGCAATTGAAACAGATATACAGGGTGTTTGGTAAAGACCGTAATAACGCTTAAGGACAAATTTCCAAGATCATTTTGAGACGAAAATCTAATTAAAAAATGTCGAGGGTATAATAGTTTTTTATAAGCACTTAAAGTTAATTTTTGAATTATGCATTTAAACTTACTTTTTAATATAAAAGATGATCCGGGGGTCGAAGGAGAGAGTATAATTTTTCTTATGCATTTTAAATGTAGGTATTTAATAAAATAAAATTTCTAGAACATAATTTTTTAATTCTTATTATTATAATATATAATGATATTAATATATATAGATATTAAATTTTAATTAAATGACCAGAAGTTTTACGATCTCAAAAAGATTATGTATACTCTTAGAAGAGTACGGCTGTTACCTTAGTTGCAAATATTTTTGCTGTTAAATATAGCATTTTTATAAGATATTCTATATTTATTCTATTTTTAATGTCAAAACATGATGGTAATACACTGTGCAATACCGACGATACCCCATGGAAAAATAAAAATCAGATTGACGTCGATTAGACATCAATTAGGTGTCACTTAGATGTCACTTAGATGTCTGTCAACGTCTAATTGACATCGATCCGGTTTTTTATTTCTCCCTAGGACATGAAGCGTGGTAATCTGTCTTATGAATGACTGCAACGCCAAGCTTTTTTTTCTCGATTTAAATTGAATTTTTTATTTACTCCCATCATATGACATAATTTTAACTAGCACCATCATATTTTTCACTTCAAGAACTATAAGAGTAATGATATCGGTTTTTCTTTTCCCGAGCATAATAAAAACAGGCCTTTTAATTTGTAACATCCTTTTCTGACATTAAAGATTAAAATACGAGGAAAATACGGTCTGCGTTACATTTTGCTTTTGTAATAAATATATATCATGATTTATTACGCAAGAATGACTATTTCGTTTAGATTGTTCTCTTTTCTCGTGCTCGTATATTGCAAATTATAACTAATTTAATATACGCTCCAATTAATGTTCGATATCATTCGTGCGTTTGATTACGGATTGTTGGTTTATGTACGCGCGCCTCGTAATTACAGGGCCGGTTACAAAATCACGGTGATCGACAAATCTGAGAAAGACTGGTGGAAAGGCAAATGTCTTGGTGGCCGCATTGGTTATTTTCCAAGTGCGTACGTTATGCGGGTGGAATCTGGTCAAAGGACTCTTCAGGTCACACGCAACTTGCAGCTGGCTGATCAAACTTTGCTACGAGATCAGGTATTTATGTGCGTTGCATGGTGTTAAAAATTGTTTGAAACGATCCGTGAAGTATTTGAAAAGAAAGATCACCGACATATCAGATTTTCAGCTCGCATTGCCTTAGTTTACTCGTATCAATGTTTATTAAATTTATACATTTAAAAGAATTTTTATAGGGTAGAGAGCAAAGCCTTTTTGTTCATTTCTTACGATAATGTTTATGTTTCTGAACAGTACATATTGAACATTTAAAGTCGTGCTTGTACTCTCAAAAAGCAATCACGATTGTATAAAGTAATTGTAAACACGACACTGCAAAGAGGTACTGTTTGCCGCCGTATTAGTTTAAGTTTGAAATTGACGGAATAGCCCCGCCCCCTACCCTACTTTGAGAGAGCGAACGCAAAAGTTGAATCTTTTCGTTTCGTTACACAATGTGTGTATATATATATATATATATATATATATATAGATCGTGATCCAAGTGGGCGAAGAGATGGACGGGGTGGCGATGGTAAGATGCGCAGCGGACGTGCGTTCCGCCGATCATACGGGCAAGGAGGGCGACGTTCTCTACAAGGAAATTCTCTGCCCTCTCAAGTACCTGCAGGAGGTGTGACGACAGCCTTATCATCACCAAGTCGTACGCGGCGGTAGTGTCATTGTGAGCAACGAACGTCGACGTTGCACCGATATGCGTGATCGTTTCTCGATGCGTCGTCACGTTGCCGAGAAGTATTACGATTGTCTGCAATGCGCCGAACAATGTCGTCACGTAGACAACAGCAATCCCAGCGGCAGTGGGAACAACAACAATAATTACGGTAACAACAATAACGGCAAGAAGGACGGTGAGGCCGTCGCTGTTAGTCATCGGATTCGCGGTAATTATCATCTACCAACCTCGAGTGCGGAGTTGTATCTCGACGAGGAGGCGGCACCGATATCTCCCGACGAACTCAGGAGAGTTCGGAGCACGAGAGGTAGTCTGAGCAAATCCTTGGCGAGGCATCAGTCCGCGCACCTGACACCAGCCAAGAAGAGATCCTCCCTGGCACGACCGGTTCGCGTTCACGACTCCTTTGTGCAGCCGAGACGGCCGATGGCTGAGGAGGACATCAGTTATCAGGAACCGCAACGCGATCAGCAGACGTGCAAGAACCCGTGGTGGTGGGAGCGCCAGGATCAGCAGGAGCCTAACACGTCGAGCTACACCTATCATCGCGACACCGAGGATGGTAACGCCGGTTGGCCTATTCGCCTGCGGCTCGAGCAGATGCTAGAGCTGACGTTGCCGCAGACCAAGCGGAAGAAGAAGAAGAAGAAAAAAACGGCGACGGCGACGATGATGCTGATGAAACAGCAGCAGCGCGGCAGGCACGGCTTCAAGGATACTGAGAAGCTCCTCAAGGTACTCAGCATTAACAATGTGGACCAAGATAATAGGTACAACGTCAAACGATGTTCCGTCATGTAGAGATTAGCGTAAAATGAGAGAAAGAGAAAAATGAAAAGAAACCAAAAAAAAAAGCGTGTAACAAACTTCTTAAGGAAACACCGTAGGACTCTGATACGCTCGTATCTGGAATCCTGCTTTCGGGCGTTACTCGCGGCCGGGTAGAGCCGCAAAGATCGAAGCTTCGAGTCTGTTTTGGTACACTTAATAATTTTCGATAAATTTTATTTTATTTTAATTCTTTGTTTCAGTTGTAGAACGTGAGGAAGGACAAACGGGAAGTCGCGGCGCGACGAAAAATCTCCCGTGTGCATTTATCTTCGTCTTTTATTTATATATTTCAGTTTTGCTTATATGTGAAAATTGTCTGAAAGTTTTATTCGTGCTGTTTACATTAATGAGCGCTTTCAGCACGATGTTTAACTTGTAACTGTTGAAAGTTTTCGTGGTGCTGATTGGATTGTACTTTTAGAGAAATAGCCCTATCTCGGTGAAGAAACCTTCCAACAGTTGCGAATTAAATGTTCTGCTAAAGGTGACTAATTTGTATATTTTGAGTCGTAAGTCATTCTTGTAGTAACGGTGTTAGATATCGCTAGTTGAAAGGAATTGCAAGTATTCATTTTTGTTTTCCTATTTTTCTAATAACTAATTCTTTTAATAATTCTAATAATTTTTCTAACACACACAATTTTTCTGATAATTTGCAATTTATTTTAATCGTCCCATATTTTTAAATCTTTAGTCTTAATTTCTTTCATTGTGCCGTTAAGTATGGGTATTAATAACAAGAAAATCGTTACCATTACGCAACGATTTTTCCGAAGCGTCATTTTTCGATAACCATCGCGGCTTCGATAACGCGCAAAGCACTTCTAGAGACAGAAACTGTTTCCGTTTCGTTCTTCCTAGCTATTTTCTCAGTTTGAAGATAGAGATTATTTCCTCTTAGCTGCGTATCTGATCCGCCGCGTATCTACTCTGGCATCTCGAGATTCAATATCCCTTTATTGCTTTGATCGGGCATTTTTACTTTTATAGGACGAAGTGGTCAGTGTCGCGACTCGAAAGAAAAAGCTTAGTAATGAACGATTTATTTACTATTACCGCGTTGCAGGGTGAAAAATATCGCTTCGTCGCTTAGTTTAAAAGTCGAGATCCACTTTATCTCCGTATAATCGGAGCTAATTAATCGTTCGTACCCGCATTCGCGCAAAAGCGAACCAAGGATTAGCGAGGAAGCGAGAAAAAAGAGAGAAAGTAAAACCAATTTCATTCCACTAAACTGCCTGGGATCATCGCGGACGCTTAATCGCGAGCTCCTCCCAAGTTTCGCGCGACAACACCACTCCGAATAATTTTTTATATCAAGAAATAACACCGACAGTATATCGTGTTGGGCGTGAAAATTATTCACGCACAGCGGTTTTGCGAATCGCTTGTTTGCGATTGGAGGAACGAGTGGATGAAGGAAGTATATCGCATTTAGTCATTTACGATATAGAGAAAGCAGTAGTTTCTAGAAAATAAAATTGGGGAGTTTATACTGTTGCTTCCAATTACGTACATTTTAATTTTTTAAAAATATATAAAATACAAAGTTAAGATATAAAATAATTTAATTTGTTTTTTAAGCTGGCATTTGTAATTATAATTAATTCTTAATAACGAGCCGTTTGCTTCACCTTTGACTTTCATTCATATTATCGCGTTATCAAATTAACGACGAACCTGAAGTAACTGGCAAATAACAGTTTATATTTGAGAATAAATAAAAGATATTGTGATATACCTCCTACGTTCGCTTAACTCTTCGAGTTGTCTCGTTAACAGCGATAGTCCAAAGAAGAGTAGCAAGTACCTACAAACAATGGATGTACACGCGTAATCCAAGTGCCATATTGCGTCGCGACAGCATTAAAGCCTATAAAATCTAAGCATTTGAATGAACGTTGCAGTATTAAGTACATAAAACAAACAAAATGTGTGATTTGACGTAATTCGTGACGCGATGATTCGAGATACGCACTTTCCCTCGTCGTGTCGTAGGCAACCCACAAGCATATAAATAAATATAGATAAAGCGAACCCTTCTTCTATCCGGGAACGAACGTCACGAACGTCAGGGAGAAGAGTCGGTTCGCGTGAGCTCACTGCGCGTTAAAATCGTACGAGCATGATGAAAGTGAGTACGGTACTAATCTTGATCGCATCTTATAAAAAAACCTTGCCCATTTTTATGTGGATTCCTTTGTCTTAATAACGAAGCTCAGCTAAAATGAAATATTATATTACAAGATCAAAATGTTTCATAGACGTTCTTTTCATGTCGTTCCGAGATATATTGAAATATTGGACACATTTGCACATATACACTGTTAAAAATGTCATGAAATTTAATGTATTTTTAAGTTACATAAATTGAATTCAATTTTATAACATTAAATTAAATTTAATATTTGTGTACATGTACATGAAATTTAGTGTACTTTTCATAAAAATTTTACGAAGTTTAGTGCATTTTTCATTAAATTTTATGTAGATTTGCATGAAATTTAATGTAAATAAACGTTAGATTTAAGTTACTTGTAACTTCATTTTTATTGACAACATTAAATATTTTTAATGTACCTGTTTGAAATTTGCTTCCATTACATAACGGAAGCAAATTTCTGTTTTTTTAACAGTGTATTTTAACTTATAAAATATAAAGTTCGTTTATTTTTTAGTAACTGTGCCGTAATATTGTTATGAATAGAATAATGAATAATGAATCAATTGATATAAATGAAACATGGAATAAGGTGGTACAATTTCGAACATGATACAGTTCTGAATAAAATAAGATTTGAATCCAATTCTTGTGAAGTTCAAGTTTGATTTTTTTCCCATTTAATATATCCCTTTCAGTAACACAATGATCAAAGTTACCAAACTTGAACTTTGAAAGTTGGATTTAAATTTTATTTCGTTCTGAATTGTACTATATTCAAAATTGTCTTATCGTCTTACCCTAGTTACTTTTTAAAAAAGCAACTTTTATTTGTTGGTTATCTTCTTATGCGATTTGCTGAGTCTGTCATTTGTTTCAACGGATATCCTGATGTAATCTATTCATTCCTTTATCCATTAGTATATGATTCATTATTATAGATGTGAGGAGTCCAAAATAGGCAAGGTTCTTTGTAATCGTCAAAGTAGCAAACTGCTTTCAATACTTGCGTTTTAATTCATTTCTGCGTTTTAATTAATTTGCATTTTTTATTCGTGAGTGACCACGAAGAAACGATTCTGCATCGGATCCTGCGCTATTCCTCTTACAAAGTCCAACTTATAAAGGCCAACTGGCCAGTTCAATACTGAAAATTACTTATTTTTATTATTAAAAGCATTGTTGTTAAGAACAACAATGTTTTTAATAATCAAGTAATTAATTCATAAAATTTCTAGTATTAAATTTTTGTGGAGATGTCTAAGTGGCATTTAAGGAGCATTTACAAGGACTCCATCGGTTTTAACATGCGTGGACTTGCGAATCGAGGTGAAATAATCGTAGACTTAGAAATATTAAGCGGGATTAGATAAGTATCGTTTCGTTATATGTTGTCGTTTATAATATATTCTCACGAGTGCCCTTTCTTCGTTAACGTAACTCTATCGCATTATCAATTATAGCGTAGAGAGACATAAAGTTATTGACAAAGTTATCACTCCCAGTATTTTGTAAAAAGAAATACTAGGTTTTTTTTATTGCCGGTATTCATAGTCGGTTCTTATATTTAAGATCATCTCAAGTACAGTCTTAAAATATTACGAATCAATCACAGAACTGTATTAGTATCTTAAAACTACTTAAGATGCGCTAATAGTTTATTACATAAGATTACTTAAGATAGTCTTGAAATAGGAATCGACTATAAATACCGGCCTACGATACAGGATACGATCCACCATACAGCGTTCAGCACGATCAAGATGCGCGATCAGTAGATTGCGAGTCGAATACATCACGTTAGAATAATCAAATTTACCAACGATTCACTATGTGTGCGTATCTTTTATAATTTTATGTTGAATTCACTGTGTCGAGATAGGAGAGGAGGTTTGACTCGAACCGGCGTGAGAATGGCTGCGGATTATTAACTGTATCTGGTTTGACGTAATCTTCGATGTTG